ATAATTCCAAGCTACTTACGACGCGTTTCGTCCTTGCTTAAGGGACTCGTCAGGTAAATTTGGAATTAAAATAATGCTACATAAGGATAATAATCTTAAAATCATAAGAAAGTAACAAGAGTCGAAACTCCCAACTAACAATCAAATGATAAGATATATAAATCCAATGATGTCGTAGCAAATCACATAAATGGTGTGTTTATAGAGATAATTCCAAGCTACTTACGACGCGTTTCGTCCTTGCTTAAGGGACTTGTCAGGTAAATTTGGATTTAATATAAAGCTGGATCTTTTAATAATTATATTGTTGTATCATAGTTGTTGTTTATGCATGATTTTAAATCAAAAATGATTTTGAACTAGTTCGAGATTGAAAATGAAGAAAACAGTTTCAAATAATTTCATAGTATTCAGTAGTCGTATGTTATCAGTAGTATTCGGATTTCGAAGTCTTCTTTTGAATTAAATTAACTTTATGTGTTTTTTGTGTGATGGGATAGCTACTGTATTTTGATAAGGTTATATCAGGTTGAAGATGAAAGCCTTAAAGAAAATTCGCAAATAAATTTGAGTTATACTTATTCAAGATTATATGTTTAAAACCAACGTTATTGTTGTAAGATACTGTTTGAATTAAACCGTGTCGTTGTTATTGCGTGAGATGAAGAAGTGACGAGAATGACTGTGAGGCAAGTGTCTATATAGGGGGTGTGTATGAGTCATCAGCATATATGGCTGACGGTTTGGTAGATGTTCGATAGTTAGACATGTATGACAAAGTATTATTTAATAACGATAGGCCTGGATATGTCTGTGATCGATGAATGACCTCTATTACGAAGCATTATTTAGTAATGATATACTTCAATATGTCTACGACATATCAGGTCATATTGATAATAACTAGTCGTACATTTATTCCATGTATAATTACCTAATTCGTTTACAAATTCAGTTGAATGATTATTGATCTTATTGTATCATTTTATAATCGACAGTATCGTGTAGCAAATATCTAAAATATGATCACAAATTAAAATAAAAACAAATATTGAAGAAAAAAATGATTAACTAAATTATTATCAGTAATATAACGTGAGGAAATGAAATTATTCGATAATGATTTAATTTGAGACATGATGAAAATGAATTCGTTTTATAACTAAACGAAGATAAATGAAAATTAATTATAATAATTGTTTTCTTTTCTTTTCTTTTTCATTCTGTCTATAACGGTTTTACGTCTAGCGAAATTCAAATTCAACTAGGCTAACAGTTTCTTTTCTTTTCTTTTCTATCTATAACGATTTTCTGTCTGGCTAACGTATTACAACGATCTAGGATACTTTTTTATTCGTTTCTATTATGATGGTAACGGTTTTCTGTCTATTGTATTTTAAATTCATTTATTGTAGTCTTCGAGGATCGATATATTTTTATAAGATAATTCCTATATCTACTTATAACGGGTTTCGATCCTTGCTTAGGGAACTGATTGGATATATTCTGAATCTATAACGATACAAAATCATTCGATTCATTTATAATATGATGTTGATCAGTTGTTTGTATATTAAAAAGTCTATAATGATAAATAGAACCAGTGAACGTAGATTAGTCGATGTGTTTGTGCGCAATTTATGATATTTTTATAGAAAACCAAGAGATAAAGTGGAAATCAACTTACAGAATGATAGTATATAAATTGTTTTTTTCGAGAAAATACATGGAAGCTAGCGACGATGATATTCTAATTGGTTTGTATGATAGCTGTTGCATTTGTTTCTTTTTGTGTACTCAAAAAGTGAGTACACTACTAGAATCGGTCAGTGTGTCCGGCCGGCCGTCCGGCCGTTTACACGATAACTCTCGAAAGGAGAATCAGACTGAGCTGAAATTTTCTACACAGTTTAGTCTCGTTGATATCTCGGTCGAGTTCGAAGATGAGCTCAATCGGTTATACCATTGTTGAGTTATAAAAGAAATTCTCATTATTGATCAGACCATCCCTGAGGGGGAGTACAGGGATTTTTTTTTCAAAAAAAATATTATTCTCAAAACTACTCACAGCATATATAAATCGACTCAGTTTTTAGCGCTGATTCCGAATCTGATATTAGTTTTGAACCAAATCGTAGCTTTCTAACAAAATATCGCCTGAAAAAGGTCTCAAAATGCACAAAAATTGTATCTAGAAACCAAATTGCCTAGATATGTCTCACATGACTAGTAGTTTTTGGATTTTTCAAATACCTGGCTTTGTATCTAGTCAAAAGGCCTATCGAAAGGTAAAAACCCGAACTCGATCGCTATTAACATTGGTGAGCTATTATGAAAATACTCGTGTCTGTATCTATTATATATCTCTTATAGATTCATGAAGTTACTTACAATCGTGATCCCCCTAGTTACAAACACAGATTTATTTAAAAATTACTCCTCTTACCTAGTATTTTTGGAGTAGATAGAATTTGTGAAGAGCCTTGAATAACGATAGGGGGTAAATATGGTGTGTTTGAGGTTTCCTCAACTTTACACTGTCCGAAAACTATGAAAAAACTCACATATACTGACACTGCTGTTAGAACTGTTTATTGTTGACTAAGTTCGGCCAGCCGTTTACAGGATACCTTACGAAAGGAGAGTCAGATATTGATGAAGTTTTATACACAATTTCGACTAATAAAGATCTCGGTCGAGTTCGAAGTAGAACCTAATTGGACGAGCCATTCCTGAGTTATTACAAAAATACTGATATTTCCCTATGATTTCCATATGCACTTTTTGCGGTACACATAACTCTCGGATACAATCCGAAGTTTCCACATTTATTATAATATAGGTTGGGTTGCAATTTATTATGTGTTGTAAATAAAAATATTTTAATCTGAAATAAAGAGGAATATTATTCATTGAAATATACAAATGAATATATTTTATGCTAAAGATTTATCCAATGAAAATGACAAACTAGAGATGAATTTTTTTACAAAGTTACTATTAAACTTCAAGGTGATATTGAAAAAAGAGTTTATATTTCTGTTTATAAGGTATTGTGATATCCTATTGTTCAAGATCTTGGTTTCATTTTGGTTAACATTGCTCGTGGAGGTTTTTTATGTATGAAGAAAGTTTCAAGTGTACGACCAGTAATAGGAATGAGTCGTACTTTAATTTGTTCAAGTGGTGATCCGGAAAATGCATAATATGTTTTCCACCAATTTGTAAATTCTTGTCGAAAGCTGACTGTGAATGAAGTATCAAATAAATAACGTGGATACATTATTTCTTTGTTCCATATTTTTGGTTATAATACCAATGGTGTTTTAATTGGATCTTCCATCATTGCTTGAAATTTTTTCTCACGAAGTGTTGGTTGATATAATAAATTGTGATGTAAACGAGAGTAAACCTGTTCATTTATTTGTTGTAATATAGATAGTCTATTATTTAAATAAAAGAATCTATTGAATTGTTGAGTAATAAAATGTGGTGGATAACCATTTAATAATAATGATAGATCAATACGAACACATTCGGAATTAAAATCATTTACGTGTGAGCAGATACGAGCAGCACGTAATAATGCTGCATAGACAATGTTTCGATGCATATGACGTGGATGATCTGATTTATATGGTAAAATATAAGGTTCGGCAGTTGGTTTATGAAACATATATGTTCTTAGTTGACCATTTTCATTTGTGATAGTTATATCGAGATAATGAACAGATTTACTTATTGTAGGCTCAATTTTGATATTAATATCTTTACGTTTGGCTTTTTCAAGTTCAACATTAATTTCATCGATGGATTTATTTGTTGTCATAGAAATACCATCGATATATCTACACAAATGAGAAGATTATATGTTTTTATAAATATTATAATTAGTTTACGAACCCTCTATAGACTTCATGATGTTCTATTTGATGTTCAATTAAATCTTGTTCCCATTCCATGAGATATATGTTTGCTAAAACTTGTGTAAATGCTGAGCCCATAGCTCCACCACGAATTTGTTTATAATATTTATCATTATAAGCAAAATAGTTTGTATCCAAAATTAAACGAGCCATTTTCATAATATGATCAACTGTAAATGTGCCAATTTTTCCTTGATAACAATATTTGACACAAAAGCGAGCTAATGCTGTTAATGCACCGTCTCTTGGTATCATTGTATAAAGATTTTCAACATCAATAGTAATAAATTTTGTTCTTGATGTAAAATAACCATCTGCAACATATTTTTCTAGTTGTCGAATAACATCTATATCCAAGGGGGAAACGGCGGATTTCGTATTCCCGGGATTTTTGGGATTCC